AAATAGCCTGAATTTGAGTTAAATGATACTCTAAATAGAGGGTTGTTGTACTGAGTTTCTTTGGAAAAGTGCTGTGTAAGAGAAAGCAGATTTCCAAAGAAATATACATAAGTGACTATAGTTTGGGACAGAAACTGGTGTCTGTTGGTTCGCTAGGTGGGGCTGGTTTGTTCATTTATTGTTCCTTTCATTAATGAAAGTGTTTATGTCAGTTACTATACCTTTATTATAAAGACTGATTTGCATTGTTACATTAGATTTTATATTTAGGACTAACCTAAATCTCCTAAGCTGGCCAAACCTCATGAAATATTAATGGGTTTATGACTAAACATTTTGTTAGCATTGAGGACACCCAACAGATGGAACAATGCATTCTAATCTTCATTAGTAGAAATGTAAAAAGTCATGCAACGCTGGGAGCATGCACGCTGGAGTTTCTCAAAGGATCATGAATTTGCCCGCCAGCTCGATTGTGATCTAGATGCCCTCTTTTTTAGTATATATAGGCCTGGCAAAGAAAGCCAGTGGCAGATAGGTAATTGAGGGAAGTGAACAGTAGGCACCGTAAGTAAAGTATGTGAATCACTGTGATTTATAACATCTGTTCTAAAGGTTGTTATATTTAAAGTGACTGTGGAAATTCAGTGTATTAATAAAAGTTGTATCGAGGAAGAATAAACTGGTTTAACCAAGAAAGGACTTGTATCACTGAAGTTCCTCAAAAAGTATTTCTACCAGAAATTAACAAACAAGCAGATACGTAACAGTATTGTTGATTAACTATATTGATGGACAAGTTGATTTTTATTTTCAATCTGGATACACGGCTTACTCCGATTGGAAGTTATTATTATCTGTATAACAGACATTACTTTACTAGTCAATATGAGTTTGTGTCTTTTTCAATGTACTGGGAAAAGTCATTATTCTGATATGGAGAATTTTGTCCACCAGTTATTTTACAAGTGGAAAAAATATCTCATCCCATTCCAATGGTTTGTACTAGAATACTGACCATGTTTTTAAGCATAAAGCTTACCTGCTCTTCCACACAGCTTTGGTCTGAATCTGTTTTTGTTTATGATCTTTTCTTCATACTTACTATGACCACTAGTTGTTACTTCAAACATTTCTGTTTAGGTCTTTAACTCTTTATCCCTGTGGTTCCACTTGCATGTACTACTAATGTTGTGTTAAATTTACCTTAAATTTCCTTCTCTTTGGGCAGTTTTATTAAGTGTTAAGGGAAGAGTATTTTTCTTTGCTATATTTGGGTGCTCATGCTGCAGCTTGTTTCTTAGTGTATATAATTCTGCTTGGGTTTGACATGCATCACCTACCTTCATGAAACCAAAGAATATTCTAGACACTTATTGAAAGAGACTAGACTGTAAATAAACTTGTAACTACAGAATTAGTATTATTATTATTGAATTTTAAAAGCCTAAAAGGGGAACATTCCCAATTATTGGAAGATTACTAATTTCAATTCTATCTTGAAAACTAAAAGGTAAAGGGAGTTTCCTGCAGATCATAGATCTACATTGTCATTTAATAGGTGTTTATCTTTTTTTTATGGGAGGGGGATGTGGAGGGCTTCCTGATTGATGTTGTTTATCATAATTTTAAGAATATATTTGTTAAGAAGCAACTAAGAAATTGAGTTAGTTAAGTTGGGGATAGAAAATTAGTTTAATGGTAGAAAGGAGTGGTAATAAGTGTGTATTTTTTCAGCTATATCAAAGTTCATTATATATCAACAATTTGAGTAGGTTCTTAGACAGTGATACTTAGTTTCTAAGCTTGATACTAACCCAGAAGAAGGGTTACTTTTATTTAAAATTTTTATATTTTCTAATGGGACTTTGACAGTATTAATGAATGTGTCAATACGTGAGAAATTAGTTGCAATAATGAGAAGTATAAATTCATGCTCTTGAGGTACAATAATTCAGGAAGTTCTTGTGTGGGAAAAATACTAGTGTTGTGGAAGATGAGAGTAATTAAAATATGATTTTTGATAAAACCCTGAGCATTTAGCCGAGTGTTATCATGGAGAAGAACCAAGCTTTTACAATGTGACACTTGCCAACTTCGTAAATGTCTTTATCCTTATGCTTCTACATGCATGTGTTACTAATTCTGTATGTAGTTTAGTATTGTAATTAGTTATACAGTCGTAAGAAGGTAAAGGTGCTGATTCATTTAAAGTTTTTCAGTTAGATGAAAGATTGTATATTCTTATTGGCTCATGTAAGTACATCCTGGTTAGTTTGAAAAATACAACAAATTCTGGATATTGATTCAATTGTATAATTATTATTTGTTAAAAGTGCTATACTTGTTAAAAATAGTAAGTTGATGGTGAAACTATAATTTATATAAAAAAAAATGGTCTCAGTTTTACAAGTTGTGGATTGTTACATTGGCTGTAAACTGTAAGTTGGACTATTAAGAAACTAAAGTTTTGATAGCTCAACAAACTGAATAAAATTAACCTTAATTTGTCATTGTGAATTACCATCAATGATACTTAAGTTAATGGAATAAGTGTTTCTTTTTATTACATATATCATGGACCACTACACACTACCTTGACATGAGGGTGAAGGTTTTCATGTAGGAAGAAAAAATACCCAACATTTCTCTCTCTCTTCATAATGTAACACAAAACTTATTTGTAAACCTTTTTAACTGAGTATCTCACCTTATGAAACAGTTTTTTAATGAAAATTTCTTTTACGAATGCAGTTGAATTTGAAATGCAAAGTGTCACTTCTTGTGCTACCAGAAATTAAATATCACTAGCCTAATGGAGTTACTTCAATGAGAAAAATCTGTTCCTTTTGTTTACTTATTTTCAATACAGACTTTTTTGTTTATCTTGTAAGTAATGTAGACTAACTATTGTTGGAGATCATGTTGAAAGATGACATTTGATAAATAACTCTCAAAATATTTTCACAAAGTTTTTGCCTTTACCATTTTAGTTTATTAGAAAGATTTTTGTTTTTGATTGAGTAAGATCCCTAAATTGTTCAATTTGTTTAGAAGAAGAAGGGAAAGACTTGTTTCAATTGTCATATTTTTAAATAACTTGTGTATGTGAAACAGTTCCTGGCTCTGATTAGATTTATTAAAAAGTTTGAGTATGGAATAGATAACCATCTAAAAAAAAATTGTTTTCAAAGTTGCTGGTTAATGAAAAAGATTCTGATGATTGGAAGTATCTTGTATATTACCAATTAAAAAAAAAAAGAAAATCTAGAGAGGCTTATGTCTTTTAGTTACATTGCAAGTGAAGTATGTAAGGATTCTGACTTGAAGACAGCCATTTAATTAACAATAATCATTATAATTTTATAAATGTTTTTTTTTCTTCATGCACTCTGCTAGCTTGGTTGATGTTTAGATAATATTTTTGTATGAGATGTGTATCTTGACTCTGAGAGTTTCTGATAAGATTCCTCAGTATATATTAACTGTAACATGACATTTTTATAGTGTTGGTGTATTTATGTATGTAATATTATTAAACAACACTGTAATAATTACTTTTATCTATTTTCTGTGCAGATTTTTCATGTTTACTTGATTATGAGGCTTAGACTGTTCTAAGTGACAGAATAAGAGTTTATTATTAACTTGGTTATTGCAACGAAAAGTATGGATGATTAAAAAAATTGAATCTTCCATAAAAGATCATTGGATTTTTAGTTGGACTTCTCATGGATGTAATTTATTTTTTTCTTTTGTTGATCCTTTTTTTCGAATTAAGATTACTCCTTATTCACTATTTTTGTAATTATGTATTTTTTAATTTTCTGGTCTTACCCTAAAGTTATGATCCAGTGTATCTGCATAGTTATCCTTGATATTTAGCTTAATGTTCTTATTAGAAAACTGTAAGTCTACACTCTAGCTGTCATCTTAGTATTATATAATTTGTTTATCACAAATGAGGGTGTTATTTTAGAAATGTGCCTTGAAAGTTAAAACAGTGGACACAATGCAATGATGCAGATTCGCATCATACAGCATTCAGTTTCTAAATTCATATTTTTATCTTCTTTCAGAATGAATTTGTATCTTCTGTTTTTCACTTTGCTATGAACCTGAACAACTTGCAGTTGAATGACACAGAGATTGGGTTGTTTTCAGCAGCTGTGTTGATGACCTCAGGTGAGTATATGGTCATTATACTGAGTGATTTTTATAGCAACTCACCTTCTTCACAGCATTAAGGAGAAAAAATTGGCCTTTTGCTACTAATTACTGTGTTTAATCACATTATTCAAATCCATTACGAGGGTTTCTGATGTCTTAGTGATTTTTAGAATGTATTAATATAAGTAAGCAATGCATTTTGACTTTTTTAAATTAATATTTTTGTGAAATGCGATATAATCTAGCAACTACTCCAGATCTTAAACATTTTAATTCTACTTTTATCTGATTAGTGTTTCATTGAAACCAATTCTTCTTTTCTGATCTTAAGAATAAATAAATGAAACTGAACAATGCTAATCAAGAGATGATGTGATGTAACCATTAGGTAACCATCTGAAATAGATGACTGTAGGAAGACATTACAGCAGTAATTGGGAGGGAATAAGTTTAAGCAGATTGCTTGAGAACTATAATTGATTTCATGGTGAAGGGTGTTGTAAAAAACTTATTAGTCCAAGAAGGGGAATATATTCGCATATAATTTAAGGATAGAAAATGAGATGTTGGTCCATCTAGGTCATCCCATCCACTAAACTAAACTTTAAAATGAAAATAAAACATTCAAAGCTAGCCCTTATCATGCAAATATTTATCAAGCTTTTTCTTAAATACCATTAAAGTTACTACATCCACCTTATCTGAAGGTAACCCATTTTAAAGGCCAATCACCCTGTTAGAAAAATAAAACTGTCTTAGTTGAAGATCACTCATACCCTGCCAAAACTTATATTTGTGTTCCCTAGTCCTACCATTCTCATCATTAAGTATGAAAAAAATGATGCATAAACACTAGCAATTCCCTTAACAATCTTAAACACCTCAATCTGATCCACTTTAACTTCAGAGATCTTAACGTCTCCTCATATGACAACCTTTCCATCCCAGATAGCATCCTAGTAGCAGTCCTTTGAACTCTTTCCAACAAATCATGTCCTTCCTCAGGTTAGGACCCCAAGACTGAACACAGTACTCCAAATATGGCTTAACTAATGACCTATACAATGAAATTTATAACCTCTTTAGACTTTTATTCAATATTTCTGTAGATACAACCTAAAATTCTATTTTCTATACCACTAGCAACAACATACTGCTTGGATGGCTTAAAAAACTGCTCAACCAAAACAATAAGATCCTTTTTTCCCATTACACTGTTAAGGTTATTCCCATCAAAATTGTACTTATTTTGATGGGAATAACCTTAACAGTCATGTTGACAATCCAATAAAATTTTAAACTTTGTTAAATTACTTTGCAAAGCATCTTTTATCAGACTTTCAAAAATTTTTCCCACAACTGATGTAAGATTAATAGGCCTATAATTATTCCTTTGAAAAAAATGAGTAACATTAGCCAATTTCCAATCTTCTGGAGGCCTGACATGGCCAGGTAGTTAGGCGCTTGACTCACAATCTGTGGGTCGTGGATTCAAATCCCCATCCAACCAAACACGCCCATCCTTTCAGCTGTAGGGAGTATTATAACGTGACCATCAATCTAACTATTTATTGTTAAAAGAGTAGCCCAAAATTGGTGGTGATGACTAGCTACCTTCCCTTTAGTCTTTCACTTACTTCTAAATTAGGTACAGCCCTAGTTTAGCTTTGTGTGAAATTCAAACCAAACAAACAAACCAATTTTCTGGCATTACCTGTTATTCAAGGACTTACACAAAATAATAGCAAGTGTCGTATGTATCCAATCATTAACTACCTTCAAAATCCTTTAGGAAATATCTGGCCAAGGAGCTTTATCATTCTTTAAACTTCCCAAGTTTTTATTAACAATCTTAGAATCATCTTGTATAATCTTGTTTCTATCTAGTAACTATTCAGGATGAGGAATTTTGCTTAAATCTTCATTAGTGAAAACTGAAGAAAAGGTGAAATTTTATAACCCATCCATCTCATAATCATGAGGTATGAGCTTTCCTGTATTACCCTTCAAAGGTCTTACTCAAATCCTAACATTCTGTTTACCCTTAATTTATTTAAAGGAATCGTTACTATTAATGTTTACATTTTCAGTTAGTCTTTTATTTTCAAAGATTTTGATTTCTTAATTTCCTGTTTGGCTAACATTCTTGATCTTCTGTAATCCTCTAAATCCTTTGTTGTAACAAACAATTTAAACTTCTTATATTTATAATGATTTTCTTAATTTTATTCCTTATACCCTTTGTGAGTCAACCTGGTTTTTACTTCCAGCCAAACATTTTGTTTTTTATAAGGAACATGTCTATCTTGAATATTTAAGAATTTATTTTTAAACTTTTTCTGCATTTTATCAGTATCTCTACATAATTCAGTTGTCCAATTCACAACAGGTAATTGTTCTTGTATCCTCTCAAAGTTTTTTCTTCAAATTTGTAATCAAAATCTCAATTAAAAAATCTTTATCTCCATATGCAGTAAAACATAAAACCTAATATAGAAATGGTCACTTGTGCCCAGGTGTTCCCTGTTATAAACCATTAGAAGTTATCAATAAATCTAAAACAGCATTGTTTCATGTAGGTTCCATGACCAATTAGTGAAAAAAATCATCCTGAACTGTTTCTAAAAAAAGTCTTCCTCATGATTTCACTACCCACATTTTCCAGTCTGTATGCCTGTAATTCAAATTCCCCTTAATTATACTTTTTTAATAGCTGTATTTTTTATCTCACTGTAATTTCTCATTAATTTCATCAGTTTCATTTGATGGTCTGTAAACAAATTCTAACTAAAAGTCTCTTCCACTTATATCTGCTAACAGAAATTCAAGTCTCAACCTCTTTGCTGTTAGATTTGATATCATCAACTTGAACAGGATGTAGCTCACATTTTATACATAAAGCCACCTATTTTTCTTAGTATCGTATCCCTATTAAATAACTTATAACTCCATATTTCAAAGAAACTTCTGACATCAAAATTATTTACATTCAACCATGTTTCATTTATTCCCATTACATCGAAAGCCTTTGTTCCAACTAGTGCTCTAAGGTTTTCTATTTTATTTCTTATACTTCTAGTATTACAATAATAGCAGTTTAACAACCCTTAGAACTACTTTTTACTTTGTTTCTATATCATAATTTTCTCTACATGTTATTTTTTTTTCATTATTCTGGCCCTCTCTATTGTCTAGTCCTATTTTAAAGCTGCTCTTATTTTGAGTTAATAGACCTTGCAAATGTAAACCATCCATTTCAATCAAATGTAGAGACATGAATGGTATCATTGAAATGGCAAGGAGGGATTCTGACTTAAGAGATGTTCAGTCATATTCCCACAAATGGTAAGTATACACTGACCAAACACATGTACTTAGTGTCTGAACCAACAGTTCCTCTCATACTGAGCAGGATTACTACCGTTAAGACTAGTGATGAGTATGTCTCATGACAGTTTTCTTTTTGTTATGCCTGTGTGTGCTGATCTTGCTATAAAGGTACTTAGTATTGGTAGTATATGAGGTTTACTGTTGCCATTGAGCTGTTGAGATAAGGTTTGGTGTGTACTATACGTATAAAGTTTATCCTATATATATATATATACGCGTGTATGTGTGTGAGCATTTTTGTGATAAGCATACAGACAGTATGTGACAATGTCAACTGAGGCATTATTATAATTGAAATTGTCCCAACTGAAAGAAATATGGATTCAGTAATGGCTACATGCACAAAATCTGATAAAATATCCTAGTACCTTCAGAACTACCATTGATAACCTTGTGAACTGATAAGATATCATAGTACCTTCAGAACTACCTTTGATGACCTTGTGAACTGATAAGATATCATAGTACCTTCACAACTACCTTTGATGACCTTGTGAACTGATAAGATATCATAGTACCTTCAGAACTACCTTTGATGACCTTGTGAACTGGTAAGATATCATAGTACCTTCAGAACTACCATTGATGACCTTGTGAACTGATAAAATATCATAGTACCTTCAGAACTACCATTGATGACCTTATGAACTGATAAGATATCATAGTACCTTCAGAACTACCTTTGATGACCTTGTAAACTGATAAAATATCATAGTACCTTCACAACTACCATTGATGACCTTGTGAACTATGTTTGTTTATGATCTTTACTTAAATGTACATGTAATCTGTGTTGAAAAGTTTTATTTCAACATACGACTATTGATTTAGTATTTTTTGTGCTCTTCCATAGCATTCAAATCATAAGTGTAATATTCTAATTATTGTATATCTTTAATGAAATTAAATTAATTTTTGCCATAAAAGTGATTTTGCAATGAACCTTACATTTGTACAAAATTTACTTGAAATTGAAGTAAACATTAGGTAACTTGTAATCAATTTGTATGTCCAGTAAGTCTGATTTTTTAACGGTGAAAGCAAAAACAAAAAACAATCTAAATATTGAACACATATTGCAATTCTGACAAGATTATTCTTGAATATCTAGAAAGGGTGGGCATCTATGACAACAAGAGTATCGATCAGCAACAGGAGAAGTTAATGGAGGCTTTAAAACTCCAGGTTGGACGCAATCATCCTAATGAACCTCATCTTTTTCCAACTCTGATGATGAAACTACCAGAACTGCATTCTCTTGGTGGAAAACACATGGAACACCTTGAATGGTTTCGAGCCAACTGGACAAGACTTAAGCTTCCACCTCTTTTTGCAGAAATTTTTGATATACCAAAATGTGAAGAAGATTTAGTACAATAATGAAAATGTAGGTGGGTCATGCAAAAGATACATGTGTTATTTTCAATTGAAATTGCCTTTCAATTTTCTCAGCAAATAGTTTATAAACAGTTGTTAATTTTCACATAAAACAAAATGATTTTTAATGTTATATATTCAGGTAAATTGTTAAATATAATTTTAATTAGTTAATAAATCAAGCTAGGATACATTATCAATATTCTTGACTATCATATCAGTTAATAATCGTTTTTCACATTAAAGTAGACTCTCACCAAACTGATTGTAACATCAAACTCTGCTGTTATTCTTAAATATTAAAGAGTTTTACTTTTGAAATTAGGAACTTAGAGCATTAACAGAAAATGTTTGTGTTAGTAAAATTTTATTTATTTATCACATGCAGAAGATGTCTAAGTTTTCTGAAAGCATTATAAAAGCTTAACTTAAAAGAGTTCAAGTATGAGACTGTCTAAAGGGATGAAATAAGCCACCTTAAGAAATGTTATACTGTCTTACGTATGCATTCATGAACATCAAATTCCACCACACTTTATGGCAGTGCTGAAAGATGTGGGTTAGTATGTTATATTAGTAAGTGTTAACTTAATGAGATTCATCATTAAAATCCTTAATATTAGTTATTTGAGTTGTGTATTAATTTCACAAGTTATTTACCATATTTAAAGAAATTGTAACTACAAAGAGAAAAATTACTACTACCAAATCTAGTATTTGTAGACCAAATGTTGAACTTACTTTATTAATTCAAACTGTAAAAATTTTTAACCTTTTTATTTAAACAGTATTACATTATTCTACCAGTGTGTTCACCTGACAGTTCAAGTTATTCCCAACCACCAACAACATGCTCACCGCCCCATTCCCAGCATTCCAGATTTTAGAAAAGCTACAACACTAAGAGCCTTGGGGTCAGCAGGCCATGGATATTTATTGTATTCATACAACCTGACATCAAGATTCAACTGTATAGAGAAACGTAGGGCATAAGTTTAGTCAGTTGACCTCGAATGTCAAACTGTGGTTGAAGTATAAACTCTTGTGCTTTACAAGTATTATTGAAGCTGAGAAAGGTATTTCATTTGACCTATCATCAAAGGATTTAACTGTCATGCACTTTTAACTTTTGTAATTTTGGTTAACTAGTGGCTATCTCAACAACAAAATGGAAATGTTTTGCACATTTTCTTAATGTGTGGTTATTCTTAATTTTTAGCAACCAGTGGTGGTTTGTGAGTCTTGTTGGTGAAGTCTGTCATTAATCACGATATGTCATTGACATGACTTTTATAAGCCTATTTTAATCATTCATCTAGCAGAGAATGTTGTAATTACACCATACATTCTATCACCCTATTATTCACATTGTTTTCATAAATCAATGGTCTTCTTAACGTCACCACTGAAGTTTGTAGTTACTGTATACCTTCTTTCAACCTGTGACTTTGTTTTTGTTAACTAGCCAAATGGTGAATTTTGTTACCTCCATTTAGAGGTTGTTTTGTATGTAGTACATGTAGATGGTAGTTTTATTTTTTTATTCCTTATTGTGAGATCCCTGAGTTACAGTTTTCACTGCCACTTACACTGAGGCTAGTCCTCAAAAAGTAAACTAAGAAAAGTTATTGTAAACAATTAAATAGATCTCTTATATTATTAATAAAGGGTGTTACTGAAAGTCTATTTTAGCAATCTTAATTTTCTAATGGTCAGTTACCTTCCATTTCATAAATCTTATGCAACATAAATCAAATGTACATTATTATCCAGAATAATAGAAAATAAAGAAAAGGTAGACACATTGCAGTAGAAATATCTTAAAAGCTAATGAAAGCGTATTGGCATTGTAATTCTTGTTAATGGTAGGTCTAGATTTATGTATAGCAATGATTTTCTTACTTTGCAAAGATCCCATTTATATTTGGCTACAGTAATGATGTGGAGTTGCTGCAGACCAATCAGCTGGAGGATTAATCCAGGTTAATAAAGGTTGATATTAACAGTTCTTTCAACTGTGGCAACTCCTCCTTGTCTTATCTCAGGGTCTTTTTAAGCCTAAACCTTAAATTAGAAGCTAAGGATGCAAGTTCGTATCTTTGTATAATCACATCATCATTAATACATGTACAACATCATGACACATACACTAAGACGACAAAGGGAAATTTCATTCATAACAAACTAAACTGAGTCAAAATAAAATTAGAATACTATCAGATTTACACAAAATAAACTAAAATTAAGTTAAACTGAGCTCAAAATCCAATCTAATACAAATCAAACAGAGTTAAAAAAGTCAAATGCAATATTTTGAACTCAATTAAAACAAATAATTTTCAGAGCTGAATAGAACTACAAATTAAAATGAACCAGAATAGAACTGTTAAATGAATATAGTTTCAGATCGTTTAAAATCAAACAAAAGCATCAAATCACAAAAGCAGCATTATCAAGAAATTCAAAGACTGGTCAGTTACATATACATATGACTGAAATCACAAAAACATACACAAACAAAACCCAAAAAGATTTGAACACATCATAAAATAGAATTGCTTTTATTGTTTTTTAGTGCAAAGCTACTCAATGGGCTATCTTCACTCTGTGCACCACGGAGAATCAAACCATAAATTTTAGCATTAAAGCCTGCTGATTCGCTGAATCATGAAATGGAATTGAAGATACAGAATGAAACTGGATGCACATAAATATAAAAATAAAATACAACTTGAACCAAATCTAACGAAAAGCAAATTTAGTATGAAGTCGCAACAATCATAAAACTGGTCACTAAATTAACTTGGGAAGTTTAACAAAATTAATAAATCAACTAAAGATTATACAAAAACTAAATAATATAAAGTAAACTGAATGAAATAAAACTTGAATGTAACAAATGAGAAGGAAAATACAGATATATACATGCTTAATATCCATACTGTGATTCTAGAAGATTCTAGAGGCACTTTGTGGACTACTTTCAACAGTCATCTTCTGGAAAGCCTTTTTAACCCTCCAAATGCCTCTCTTGTGTGTGCCATCTGCTTATGGTGGAGATGCCAATTTTGTTTTTGTAATGTTTAGTATGCTTCAGTGAGGTGCTTCTCCTTGGACAATCTCACTGCATTAGGACCTTGGCTTCTATCCACTTTGTTGCACAAGTATGACAATGATTTCACCAGTGATCAATAGAGCACACTTTTGTGGCTAGTTACAACCAGCTTTGGGTCAAGGCATTATGGTGAAACAATTGCCGATGATTCCATTATAACAAGAAAGATTGGACATCTTTTTGCTGCTCTGATTTAGCCATCTAATTTTAAGGAAGACCTCTTTCAGGTGCCACCCAATGTCATTTCTATGTGACTCGCTGATGCAATCTTTCCATAAGAGAATTATATTACTTTCCTTTGTATTCCAGGTGTTTGCACTCTGACAAGGCTAGTGAAGGGCACCATGATAGATAATCCTGGTTTTGAGATATGATGTTTGCACTTATTATATGATTATCACTGAAATATATGACGTAGTTGAGAAGAGTCGTAGCATATACATGAATGGGAACCAATGGGTTTGTAATGGACTGACGTAGGTAAACGATACTCTTGAGTGGAAATGTGAATGCCAAAACAGGCAAGCTCATTGAGGAAAGTGTGAAAATAAGTGTGGGATGGAGGAAGAATCAATTCATAATTCACACAATGTTGTGTTAGCCCTATCAACAATGTCATCAATATAACTTTGTCAAGAGTTAGAAGTGTTCCTTGATAGATGGAGAACATTTTATTTTCTATATGTCCAACAAAAAGTGACGCATAAGAAAGGTCCAATTTAATTCCCATAGTTGATAAAACTCACTATTAAAGGAGAACCCATTCAGGATTAATACATGTTCGGCAGGGGCTAGTGAAACTCATAGATCCAGGTAATGTTTGAGGGCTTTCAAACCTTTGTCATTGGGAATCGGTGTATAGAGTGGCAAGTATATAATGTTCACTTCAATAAAACTGAAAACTGTTTAAAATATAAAGTACATGTGTTGTGTGTCTTATGTAAGTGGAAAGAGATTATACAGTAGGTTTAAAATCACCATCAAGGAAAGACGATATTAATTCAATGGAACAGTTACATTAAAAAATAATTGGATGAACAAAATTCTCTGGTTTATGGATTTATACTTGTGTCCCCTAGTTTTACCATTCTCAGAGTAAGTTCAGAGATCTTAACCTATCGTCATATGACATTTCCATCCTAGGTATCATCCTCGTAGTCTTCCTCTGAATCCTTTTCAACAGTTCAATTATTTTATGAAGTAAGGAGCCCGAAACTGAACACAATATCCCAAATGTAGCCTAACCAATGGCTTATACATTATAGCGTTTTTAGAATTGTATTCAATATTTCTGTAGATATATCTTAAAATTATATTTGCCCTGCCACTAGCAACAGGACATTACTTCGATGGCTTAAGAATCTGATGGACCAGAACACCAAGATATTTTTTTCATAACAATCTTAAGTAAAAAATAACTAGAACATGAACAAAGACAACAAAAAAAGAGTAATGACATGTTAAATAAACAAAGTCTAAAATAACTAGAACATGAACAAAGACAACAAAAAAGAGTAATGACATGTTAAATAAACAAAGTCTAAAATAACTAGAACATGAACAAAGACAACAAAAAGAGTAATAACATTTAAAATAAACAAAGTCTAAAATAGCTAGAACATGAACAAAGACAACAAAAAAGAGTAATAACATGTTAAATAAACAAAGTCTAAAATAACTAGAACATGAACAAAGACAACAAAAAAGAGTGATAGCATGTTAAACAAACTAAGTAAAAAATAACTAGAACATGAACAAAGGCGACAAAATGCTTAGATATACAAACCATGAGAAAACAAAAACAATGATAGAATGAGGATATACATCGAATAATATTTTCCAGCGAGATACAACAATGAAATTAAAAAAGAACGATCTAAACATTACGTTTCAACGACGTAACTTGGACAAAATGGTAATGATAAAAGGATAAAAACCTTCCAAGGTGACTTAATAAACAAATTAATATATTTTGTTTGTTTGTAGTTAAGCACAAAGCTACACAAAGGGCTATCTGTGCTCTGCCCATCACGGGTATCGAAACCCGGTTTCTAGCGTTGTAAGTCCGCAGACATGCCGCTGTGCCACTGGGGGGCAAATTAATATAAAGGCAAGAAATTATGTTAATAAAAAAAAGGCTTAACATAGCAAACAAACTTAAGTGGTTGAGCTAGTGAATAAGAAAAAGCGCCTTCTCTGAACAAAATTGTTAAGTATAACGAAGTTCGTTATGAGAAAGTAAAGATCAAGGGAAGTGGTTAAAGGAAAAATAAATTTCTGTTAATTTTGAGGGACTAGCGCCGACTTAAAAAATCAACGGTTTTTCCAAGTATTCTCTTTGTGTTACGATAGTGTGAACATATTTAGTTCAAATTTAGAGAAGCCAAATATGCAGTATGAAGAGTAATTGAAGTGTCTAATTGTGGGTTTTGTAGTGTCATCATTTATTCTTTAGGAAAGATTTTCATGTGAACTATCTCCTAAACGGCGTCCTGTTTGACACGTTTTTACAGATCACAATATACCAGGTTTTGTCAAAATGCACGCGAACGACTGTTGTATTTGGATGTTATATTAACATATGGCGGGTGACGCATCTTTTTCTGTGACACCAAGATGTATCTGAGTACACAGTGACTGTTGCTTTTCGGATGATACTGTGAAACCAAAATGTTGTTGATATTTTTATTATGTCTGTAATAGAAGAGTAGAATTTCTTAGGATGTTGAAACTATATTTGATGTTCTGGGTAGCTTTTGTGGTATTTTATATATATTGTTGCGTCAGCGAGTCACATGACTAGTGTGACGCCACGTTTCTCGA